AGAACAAATTGAGATGTTTCCTTAAACATATCATCAAATTCTTTCCAGAATAAATGATCTAGGATATTTTAATATGAAATTACTGATGGGATCTTTTTAATATTATCTTAATTTGTTTTGCTTAAAAGAAATTATGAGATTTAACTGAACAAATGGAGATGCAAATGATTTGCTAAGACAATCTCAATATGATCTATTTATATTTATAAATATAAAAGTATTACTTTCTTAAAAAAAAAGAAAAAGAAAGAAAAGAAAAGAAAAGAAAAAAGAAAGACAAAAAATATTTTTTGACCCTTAATTATAATTTTATTAAAATAAAATCTATATAATATAAATAAAATAAAATAAAACATTGCATAATGCATCCTTGAATATATATATATGTATTAATTTTGACCCATTATTATATTAATATGAATAGTAATATTTAATATTACTATTAAAATTATAATATTATTAATATTATTATATTTATATTTTTGAATATTTCTCATTCATTCAAGACTAAATGACCGGGGCTATTATCTGAAGACCTACAGATAAGATCTTTTGAATATCTCACCTGTTTCTCCTAAAAAGCAATGAGTTTAAATGGAGAAGTCCTGCTTCTCATCTTCTCATATAATATCTCAAAACCTAAAGTCCGAGATCTCAAAATGAAGGCCTTGTTATCTTGACAAACCTGAGCACAGTTTGAGACATGGCTGAGGTTTTTTTTGTTTGTTTTTTCCCCTGAAACTGTGCATGTGAATTTAGCTACTAGGGTCTTTTACATAGAAATGAAACTCAGAAAGGCTCTCCACTTAATCTCATTGCCGTCCAGCTTATAAGAGCTGAGATATTAAAGAGATTTCATTTGCTATTTTCCTTTCCTCTTTGCTGACTCTGTGTTTGGAGTCAACAGATCTGAAGTTGAATGCATACACAAAAAAGCAAAGTACAGCTATTAGAGAAGCAAACATGTAGCAGAGCGTTGCGGCGTGTAAATGAGATGCATTTGTCGGGGCTCATTTCAGCGGGGACCGCCACAGTCACATCAGACAGGTACACTAACTAATGCCGAGCTGTTAAAGTACGCCACTAATTTTAGCAAGCTGTCAAGTAATAATTGGGGAGGAGGTGTTCGCTGTGCCAGTGCGAATATGCACACTTACATAATCTATTTGCGGAAATTATTTTTACAGTTGAAAGAAGAAGAAATAACTGCCTGCTTCCCGCAAGAGACGGTTTAATCGCTGTTCCAGGCCTTCGCTGTTTACATGATTGAGTGGATGTGAACGGAAAAGGTGGCAAAGTTCAAGTAAATCGCTTGCATTATTCACTGAGAATACATTTAACAAACAGTAATTAGAGGGCAAATGCAAACGGGGATGCTCGTTATCTGGCAGTTTTACTGCGGTACGGCTTGTTGACTTGCATTGAAAGCGCACTTCAGTGAATTATGTATGTCCCATTTTCTAGCTTTCAGGTCGTAGTAAATGTGCTCTCTGTACAAGAGGAAATCCATTTCGTTTGAGCACCTTTATGACTGTATAGTCATTCAGAAACTCTCTACGTCTTGCGCTTTCTTTCTCACAGAGGAAACAGACTTAACACTTACTAAGTGCCAAATTGGAGTAAAAATAGTTCTGCAGGTAACTTTATTAGCAACTGCAACATACATTTAGACTGACTTGTAAAAATTACATTCTCAACCATACCTGTAAATAATTATAGAAATATACACTACCGTACAAGTTTGAGGTCACTAAGATGTTTATTAAAAAAGTATCTTATGCTCACTTAAGGTTCCATTTATTTGATCCAAAATACTGCAGAACCACGAATATTGTGAAATAATATCCCAATTTAAATTTTTCTATTTGAATATATTTTAAACTGTAATTTATGCCTGTGATGCAAAGCTGATTCATCATTACTCCAGTATTCATATTAATTAATTATTTACCAAGTCATTTTAATATAGTAATTGTATATGAAGAATTCATTAAAAAAAACTTTACTGACCCAAAACCTTTGATGATATTTCTGATGTTAAATTAATTAAACATTAGATAGTGTATCCTTGACTAAAAGTAGTATTTTTGTAAAAAAAAAAAAATTGTATTAATTAAAAAATTTGATTTTTTTTTTTTACCCCTGACTACAACTATGGTGAAATATAAAATTAAATATAAAATAAAATAAAGTTGCATTAAATTAAATTAATTAAACATTAGATAGTACATTCTTGACTAAAAGTATTGCTTTCTTTCAAAATAATAATAAATAAAACGATAATAATAATTTTTGACCCCTGACAATATCTGTGGTAAAATAAAATAAAATAAAATAAAATAAACACTTCATGATGCATCCTTGAATAAAAGCAATAATTTATAATAAAAAAATAAAATAAAATAAAATAAAAAATAATAATAATAATTTTCTGACCCTTGACTATAACAATGGTAAAATAAAATAATAAAATAAAATAAAGTTACATTCAATGAAATTAATTAAACATTATATAGTGCATCCTTGACTAAAAGCAAAAATAAAATATATTTTTTTTCTTAAAATAAATAAAATACAATAATAATAATAATAATATCCCCCCTGACTATAACTGTGGTAAAAAATTAAATAAAATAAATTAAAATAAAATAAAATAAAATAAAATAAAATAAACATTTCATATTGCTTTTTTAAACCCGGACTATGTAACTATAGTAAAATAAAATAAAATAAATAGTGCTGTCAAATGATTAATCGCAATGAATCGCATCCAAAATAAAAGTTTTTGTTTACATAATATATGTGTGTGTGCTGTGTATATTTATTATGTATACATAAATACACACACATGCATGTATATATTTAAGAAAAATATATTATATTTATATATTAAATATATTTATATATAGTTTAAATTATATTAATATAAATATAAACATGTAAATGCATGTAAATATTTTCAAAATATATACTGTATGTGTGTGTATTTATATATACATAAATTATATATATATACATATATTATATAAACAAAAACCTTTATTTTGGATGTGATTAATCACGATTAATCGTTTGACAGCACTAAAAATAAAATAAAATAAACTAAATTACAAATTTAATATAATAATATAAATGTAATAAAAAAATACTGCTAAATGTTGCTTTTCTAAGTGATCAAACTTTCAATTTTCACCTGCTGTACGATAGTGCCACAGCCCAAGTAAGTGAAGGAGGGACTTGAGCCATATTTAGAAGTGCAGAATATTGTACCAACCATCCAGAACAACATAGCAACACACTAAAAACACTTAAACACCCCAAAACAGTCTCCAGATAACTATCCACGACACACGGCAAGCACTAAAAACATGATTATAAACCTTTTGATTTCCAGTTGAAAGACACTTCCGCTTTGATTTGAGGAATTTACTTGCATTCTGCCAGCGTTAAACATGTGAGCTGATAATGGAGGGATTGTTACACCAGCGGCTGCGACGTGTCGCCTCGCTCTGAGGGACATCACACCGCCGCCAGCCTCTGACAGCCACCCGAGCTAATTGTGACAGTTCAACGCTTAGATCACGTTGTGTGCCGCTAATTCAATACCCCATGCATAATTTTCTCCATTAGAATATGCAAATGCACCCAACTCTGAACATCGCCTTGCTTTTTTCTTCTCCTGCTCTGTCCTCTCCTTTCCTCCCCCCCCCCCCCCACACCCCCCTC